GGGAGCGCTGCCGCGCTTCCCAAGCGGCGCACTATCCAGTGCACCACCGGGCAGGCCCCTCTCCTCATTTCTTAACCACTTTATTATCACTTACCTTTTTCCTGCTTCCTAGATACATAAGTAGTCTTTTTGGCAATCTAGAATTCACAGACCTGTCATCCTGCATTAAAATTTGTCTTCCTTATTAGTTGCTTCAAATAAAACTGATCAATCAATACTAAAGCCAGGTGTTTTGTAGTTAGGGTAATTAATATATTCAAGCCATGATTTCATCTCCTAGAGCACACATTTTTGATTTCAAAAGAAGGGCTTGTTTATGCTAGGAAATCTCATTGATAGAATTTATAGTATAGGCTTTTTTCACATTCTTTCGTATTCTCTTTTCCTCATCTGATTCATAGTTTGCAGGATTTGTAGGAAGTCAGTACTGTAGTTGCACACTAATACTCTTTTCCTCTTAGTTACCTTGGTAGTTTTTCCTTTGCTGATGAGTCTTTGTTTGGTAGAAAATATAGATTGGGCAGAACAGTGAACATTTTGAAACCTTAATTGTGGAATCCATGAATAGGTAATCTTCAGAATTTCACTGTAGTATAATCATAACAATTAGTTACATTGTCAGTTAGTCATCAAGAAAAGTTAAATTGCTTGTATCTCTTTTCTTAAGCTGTGTAATAGGTGTAAAAAAAAAAGTCAAATTTTGTATTTATCTTACATTTTGAGAAACTTCATTCATTAGTAGTAATGCTGGATAAACCTGTAAAAAAAAAAATTTTGTATTTATCTTACATTTTGAGAAACTTCATTCATTAGTAGTAATGCTGGATAAACGAATATTTTAGACAGTTGTCTGAAACAAAAAGTGTTTTAACTCAAAAGCCTAACTTTCCAGTGTGTACTTTATAGTGTCTTATCAGCCATACCCCAATCTAAAGCCTAAGAATCAAGTATTAGACAGGAATATTATGTATATGTACTATTTTGGATAGTTTATCCATCAGCATTAGAAGAGTGAGCGTTTCACTAAAACAAAATAATTCCTATGATACTCCATCACTGGCTTTTCACTTGATTTTGAAAAATGTTATTTACACAACCAAGTTTATCAAAGACCTGTGTGAGAAGGGAAAAGATTCTTTTGGTACTCTACAGATAATCCCTTTACAGACAAATCAGGTCTTTCACTTATTAGAATGCAGAGTGCTTTTAGGCTTGCAAAGCTTTAAGGAAAGTTGTACAGTCATTAAATGATTCTATTTTGTTTTCTTCAAGCTAATAAGCACAAGTGGGTACCACTCCACTTAGACGATGTAAGACCAGATAGTCAGGAAAGACCTGGATCCCGGAACAACTCAAGATGTCAACCTGAAGCAAATAAATCAGCACATAACAACAGGAGAAATGATACACGAAGTAAGTTACATTCTAAGAGAGAAATGTCTAAAGAAAGAACTTAGTCTTAATGCTTATTATTTTAGTAACTACATGTAGTATAAACCATTTGAGAGTAAGTTGCAGACATCTGTACCTTTAACCCTAAATACCTTCAGAGTGTATTTCGTAAGAATCATAACACAGCTATCAACAGTGAAACTTAGTATTAGTATAGTGTGACTGTCAACAGGCAGATTTTTGCAATAATGTCCTTTACGGTTTTATTTATTTATTTTTTTCCAGGATCCAATCTGGGATCACACATTGCTTTTAGGTGTTTTTTTCCTCTTTAGCCTCCATTGATCTGTAACAGTTCTATTGCTTTTGTTTTTCATGATGTTGATTTTTTTTTTTTTGGAAGACTACAGGATAGTTATGTCATAGATATCCCTCATTTGGGGTTTTCTGATGTTTCCTTGTGATTTGATATGGGTTACAAATTTTGGGCAGGAATACTACCAGAGATATATAGTTTTCTTCTCAGCACATCACATGGGAATGTGCATGATCTTGGTTTGTCCCATCATTGATATTAACTTTAATCATTTGATTGGAGTGGTGTACTCCAGATATTTTTATTGTAAGGGTACTCTTTTTCCCCTTTGTAAATGCTATGTTATTTTTGGAGTCAGGCTTTGAGACTATGGAAATAATTTTTTCATCAGACTTTTTGTACACGCTTTAGCTACCATTGACGATTCCTGCTGGATTCAATTATTACTATGATGGTTGCAAATGCTGATTTTTCTTACGGCATAATTCCTTCTATATTTATTAGTTGGTATTCTACTATAAGGAACACCTTTCCATTATTTTCAGTGTGGATTCATAGCTTATTTAGTGGGTTATAATTTGTTACTGTGTTTAATTTGATGCTGAAACTGTCCCAGCTTTGGCTAATGGGAGCCTCTTCTGGGTGGTTTCTAATAAAGCAACTTTTCTGAGATATAAATTACATGTATTAAAATACTCACATTATTGTTATTAACCTTTACCACTACTTTGCTTTTTGTTATCACAGATTAGAGTTGCCTTTTCTAGAATTTCTTTTTTTTTTTAGAATTTTATGTAAATGAAACTTTACAAAATACATTATGTACTCTCGTGTCTCTTTTTGCCCAGCATAATGTTTTTTAGATTCATCCATATTGTTCCATTTATCAGTAGTTTCTACCTCTTTATTGCCAGGCAGTATTCTGTTGAATGGATATACCCCTTTTTCCATTCATGTTTGATAGATAATTGTCTTGTTTCCAGTTTTTGGCTGTTATGAGTAATAGCTGCTATGAACATTTGTGTACAAGTCCTTATATGGACATATGTTTGTTTCTGAAGTAAATACCTATGAGTGGATTGCTAGGTCATATGGTAACTGCATATTTAACATTATAAGAAACTGCCAAATTATTTGTACCATTTTACATTCCCATCAGCAGTGTTTCTTTCTTTACTGTTTGTTAGGTCATACAGTGTGCATATTTCCCAGTGTATCACACAGCAAGAGGAAGAAAATAGCTGGGTGTTTCACTTTCAGCTTTAAGACTGAGTTCAGTTGTTGTAGGCCTGCTCCATCCATTATAAAGTGTACCATTAGTCTTTCACTTAATGGTTTTACTTTCATTAAAATCATTCCCCAGATATGTTATTTCAACAGGGTTTTCTCAGATTTTAGAAAGCAGAAAACTGGAGGATATATGGAAACAATAAGATAAGCATTTGGTTTCATAGTTTTCTGCTGAAATCTTTTAAGTCTGATAATGCATGTTCTGTGAATGGATAAGAACATCTAAGAAAATTTTATAAACAGAATTGCCACTTAAAAATTTCCAATTATATTATGAAAATCTTTAAACATACAAAAAGTTGAAAGAATTGTGCAGTATATACCTGTCTATCCACCATCTAGGTTTAGTATTTTGCTATATTTAATTCATCCATCTGTTGAATCATTTGAAAGTTACTTGCAGATATCATGACAGTTCACTGATGTCCTAAGAAAATCAACACTTAATTTTCTAATACCATCTAAAATCTAGTCCATAGTTACATTTTTCTTAATTGTCCATAATATGTGACTTTAAAATTATAAAAGAATGACTGGCTAGTTAGCTCAGTTGGTTAGATCGTGGTGCTGATAACACCGTAGTCCAGGGTACGATCCCAGCTGCATCCTGCCCCCCACCAAAAAAAGATTATAAAACCTTTCTATGGGAAAATTAAGACTTTCTTTGCCTTCTATTTCATTGTTCCTCATTTATGTCATTTTAAGAGTTTTATTTTTATTATTTATTTATTTATTTATTTATTTTTCGGTGGCTGGCTGGTGCAGGGAGCCAAACCTGTGATCTTGTGGTTAGAAGGCTGTGTTCTAACCAAGTGAGCTAATTGGCCAGCCCTAATTTTAGTTTTTAATTGATATGTAATAATTGTACTTGTTTATGGGGTACAGAGTGATATTTCGATAATGTATACAATGTGTAATGATCAAGTCAGGGTAATTAGCATATCCATCACCTCAAACATTTATTATTTCTTTTATTGAGAATATTTGAAATCCTCTCTTTTAGCTTTTTGAAAAATAGATTATTGTTAATTACAGCCACTTAACTACTATAGAACACTAGAACTTATTCTTCCAATCTAGCAGTAAGTTTATATTTGTTAACCAACCTCTTCCTATTCCTACTCTCCTCTTTCCAGCCTGTAGTAACCACAGTTCTACTCTCTACTTGTACGAGCTCAACTTTTTTAGCTCCACATGAGTGAGAACATGCGGTATTTATCTTTCAGTGCCCAACTTAATTTCACTTAACATAATGTCTTCCAGGCTCATCCACGTTTCTTCAAATGACAAGATTATATTCTTTTTTATGGCTGCATAGTATATATTTTACTTTATATGTAAGAGTACTTCAAAAAGTTTATGGAGGGCCGGCCCGGTGGCGCACAGGAGAGTGCGCCGCTTGAGAGCGCGGCGGCGCTCCCGCCGAGGGTTCGGATCCCATGTGGAGACCGGTTCCCACTCACTGGCTGAGCGCGGTGCGGGCGCAACACCGAGGGTTGCGGTCCTGTTGCCGGTCCCCGGTAGGGGCGTGACACCGAGGGTTGCGATCCCGTGACCGGTCAGTAAAAAAAAAAAGACAAAAAAAAAAAAAAAGCTTATGGCAAGATTTGTATTCTTTCAATTCTATTTCTTCACGAATTTTTCGAAGTACCATTGTATACCACATTTTCTTTATCCATCTGTTGATGGACACTTAGCTATTGTAAATAGTGCTGCAGAAAACATTGAGGTGCAGATAGCTCTTTGGCGTAATGATTTCCTTTCCTTTGGATAAATACCCAGTAGTGGGATTGCTGGACCATATCGTAGTTCCATAATGGCTGTACTAATTTAACTACATTCCTACCAACACTGTGTAAGAAATCTCTTTTGTCCACATCCTCACCAACATTCACTATTTTTTGTCTTTTTGGTAACAGCCATTCTAACTGAAGTGAGAGGATTGTGGTTTTTTGCATTTCTCTGATTAGTGATGTTGAACACTTTTTGAAATATTATTGACCATTTGTATGTTTTCTTTTGAGAAATGTCTATTCAAGTCATTTACCCAATTTTTTTTTTTTGTCTTTTTGTCTTTTTCCGTGTCCGGCAACGGATCACAACCCTCAGTGTTGCCCCCGTACCGGACCGGGGACCGGCAATGGGACTGCAACCCTCGGTGCTGCCCCCGCGCCTCACTCAGCCAGTGAGCGGGAACCGGTCCGTATGTGGGATCTGAACCCTCGGGCGGAAGCGCCGCCACGCTTTCCCAAGCGGCGCACTATCCAGTGCACCACTGGGCCGGCCCCTCATTTACCCACTTTTTAATCAGATTTTTCTGTTGTTTTTCTGCTGTTGAGTTGTTGGAGTTTCTTATATGAGAGTACTTCAAAAAGTTCGTGGGAAGACAGAATTAAAAGATAATAAGATTCTTTCCACGAACTTTTTGAAGACCCTGCATATATTCTGGATATTAATCCCTTGTTGGATGAATAGTTTGCAGATATTTTCTCTGCTGATTGTTTGCTTTGCTATGCAGAAGCTTTTTAGTTTGATACAGTTTCAGTTATCTGCTTTTGCTTTTGTTGTCTGTGCTTTTGAAGTCTTATCCAAAAAATTTTTGCCCAGACCAACGTCTTGAAGTGTTTCTGCTATGTTTTCTTTTAGTAGTTTTTAAAGTTTTGGGTCTTCCATTTAAGTCTTTAATCCATTTTGAGTTGATTTTGGTATACAGTGAGAGATAGGGGTCTGATTTCATTCTTTTTTTTTTTTTTTTTTTGTTAAATTTTTATTTTGTCAATATACACTGTATATGATTATTATGGCCCATCACCGACACCTCCCTCCCACCTCCCTCTCTCCCCTCCCCCCCAAGAATGTCCTTTCCGTTTGCTTGTTGTAACAACTTCATGAAAGTATAGTTGTTATATCTTCTTCCCC